TTAAACAGTGTTCATCTCTAGATATACTAATTAAAGCAAAATTAATCTTTAAACAGTGTTCATCTCTAGATATACTAATTAAAGCAAAATTAATCTTTAAACAGTTTTCATCTCTAGATATACTAATTAAAGCAAAATTAATCTTTAAACAGTTTTCTTCTCTAGTTGTATTAATTAAAGCAAAATAAATCTTTAAACAGTTTTCATCTCTAGATATACTAATTAAAGCAAAATTAATAAACATTCGTTTTTGGGTTTTAAAAATCGATAGTTTTGTGGTTTGTTTTTGCCTTGTATTTTCACCTTGGATAAAAAATTTTCATGTTTGATAAAAACAAACTTCTACAGAATACAATTTCGTTGGACTCTTCTCAGATTGTCGTAAAACCTTTTATAAGTTAAACATATTATAAGGTTCTGTAAAAAAATCTAGCTATTGCCCACCGTTAGTTTTTTACCAAAAAAAAAAAATAATCTAATTGAAATTGAAATGCATGAGAACTCAATGTCAAACAATTTTTCTCCGGTATTTTTTAACTCTTTTGGATTTTTTGGCTTTCCTGAATATGTTGACTTTTTCAGAGCAGTGATCAGAGTTCAGAAAAACGTCTCTATTTTTGGATACAGAGTGCAGAATTGTTGTAGCCATTTTGAACGTCAGTTTGTCCTAAACAACAAATTGAGCCTTTGCCACAAACAAATATTTAATACGTATATATATAAAATATCAATCTATTCTTCAATCAAAAAAACAGATAAACATCCTCATATACATATATATGTATATATATTAATCATATGATTGTTTGATGTAACAGAATTCAAAGCTTAAAATATCTAAATAATATTCCAAATACATATTTCACTTGCTAACGTTTTTTCAGTAATTGGTTTTATTTAAGTTAGTGACCCTCCATACAAAAAGAGCAATGCCCGATTCACAACGATACCATTGAAACCTTTGACTGTTATTTGAGGAGAAATATCTTTCTGTTTAAACAAATCGAAACCCGCCCAAATTCCTCTAAAACGCGACTGTACGCTGTGTACAGTATAAACTTAAACAGCTGATCTGTTATACTTGCGTAACTCAAAGTAAATCGACTGTTTTGTGTTAAAAGCGTTTTCAAAACATTTAAAAGTAAATTTTATTTTCTGCCACTTTTAGAACGTAGCTGTTGATATTTCTTAAATATATAACATCTTGCAAGCAAAGTCTTTTAAATTAAAAGCATTTCGGTAGATTATATAATAGGACATGTCCATTGTCCAACATGACATCCCTGACCTGTCAAAGTTTTAAAGGGTACCGTTGTGAAACGGAGATGCTCCTTTCTAAAAGGAATGTCACATAAAAATTACGCTCACAGTCCCTTTAATTCTTTCTTCCTTGAAACACAAATTTGAAAGAAAAAAAATCTACTGGTTCGGCGAACTTTGATAATTGAAGAATCTTGTCAGTTCGAAAACCTAGTATTTTAGTATTAAATATTGAATTGCACGGTTTTCTCACTAAAAATACAAATAAGAATAAATCCTCAAATTAACGAGATGAGCATAGTTTGACCAGAACTTAATGGCAGTTACCTTACATTACAGTATTTTTTTTTTGGGGGGGGGGTGACAAGTTTTTTTGTCAAAATACTCCAATTAAAATGCATTTGTCTTGTGTTTCATGGTGATAATGGACAAAATGAATATATTTTGATAATCTTTTTATTTACAAACGATGAATTGTAGATAGTATTGATTTTTAATGATTTCAATTTATAATTACTCTTCCCGTTCATTAATTTACCCTTGAATAAATAATGTAATCCCGCAATGGTAATGTTACGTCGTCTATACGCAACATCCCCCCTACTGAACTTCCGACCAACTAACTTTCCGACCTACTGCAATATCGGACCTACGCCAGCTGTTTATTTTTGTATTATTTGAGGGTTAGGTTAGGTTAAGACAATTTCTGGGCCAAGCGCTACGGCTAGGACAGGCTAGGGGGCCGAGAGCCGCGGCTAGGACAGGCTAGGGGGCCGGGGGCTGCGGCGACAAGTCCATATCGCAGCTGTAAACCCACGTGCTAGTAGGTCGGATGTGTAGTATAGCGGATTAGGCGCAGGTCAGAAGTGAAGTATAGCGGATATGCGTATGTCGAAAAATACACCACCTCCCGCAATATGTGAAGATGTCGTCTTTGTTACAGCGAGCTTTTTGGAAGAACAACATATATGTTATAATAAAAGATTCTAACAGACATATAGAAAAGATTTAGGGGCTGCAGCAGCACCCCAAATCCTTGATTTAGTCAGAGTAGCTTGTTAAAAAATCCTATTTTAAGAGTTTTCAATGAAATAGCAGGTTTTCGGTCTAAATTCTTAACTAGCCTTCACTCTAAAAAAAATCTTAAGCGGCCAAGCCTTATTTGACATAAATAAGAAGTTTGTGAAATTTATTCATTTTAACTGCCCTCCCCCCCCAATACCCAACTGTGTGGGGGGGGGGCCCGAGGGGGCAAAAAAAATTGGAAAAGAAAAACGAATGTTATTCTTAAGCTGGAATTTTTAATAGTCCAATGAACGCGATACAACACAATTTCCCTGTGAGCACAGAGTACAGACCCATTTTACTGTATTAGCTTATTTTCAAGCTGCTGGATAAACTCTTTGCTTTAGAACAATATGAGACACACATAAAACTTCAAAATGTCGTCTTCATATTCTACAGTTTAATGGGTCCCACTGTATCTGCATAAAAAAGCTACCTGTGTACAAATGTCTATCCGCCACCACAGAACGAACTCAGCAGGATCAAAATAATCTTTCATCTGAAAAACAAACAAAAGTTAAAATATGTCTATTTATTTCAATTTTTTTCTTGCTTAACGCCGAGGAATTCCGGGAACTTATGAAGAAAATATTATGTTGTGCAACAATATTAAAAACTGCCAATGAACTAAGGTATGGTATATGAATTCCAATTGCAATTTATCTAAACAATATGAAAATGTGTTGGCGCTATTTATTTGGAATAATATTTCTTATTTTATTATTATTATTATCATATATTTAATTTAATACAATTATTTTCTGTAAAAATTAATGAGACATTTTTTCTCAAATTTGTTCAGATTTAACGGACCTTATGTCTAAAAATGAACTTTAGATAAACCTTTCTTTACCATCTGGAAAAATTAATTGTAAGGAAAGGGGAAGGGAGGTGGGGACGTAGAGGGGAGGATGGAAGGATATAAGAGGTGATCAGGGAATATTAAATTCTTTTTATTGAATTAGTTTCAAATTAAAATTTTTAAATGGTTCAGAAAAAAGTTCACCTAAACTTTTTCAGAACAATAAGTTTTCAAAATAAAATATTTAGAGAATTAGCTTTATGATATTAAAGTTTTAATGTATTAAAATCTCAGAGAGAAAATATACAGTATTTAGGAGATTATGTTTAGTTTGAAACACTCTTAAACGTGTGATCTTAAACTGAAATAGAGGTAACTGTAAAATCTAAATAACCAGTACAGTGATCTGTAGAAAATAGGATTGATTAAATGGTTGGTAGAACAGTTGATTAATCAAATGGTTGGTTAAACGGTTGCTCAAACGGTTGCTTAAACAGTTGTTTAAACAGTTGGTTGAAAGGTTGGGTTAACAGTTGGTTAAACGGTTGGTTAAACGGTTAGTTAAACGGTTGGTTAAACTGTTGGTTTAACAGTTGGTTAAACGGTTGGTTAAACGGTTGGTTAAACTGTTGGTTAAACGGTTGGTTAAACGGTTGGTTAAACGGTTGGTTTAACAGTTGGTTAAACGGTTGGTTATTCGGTTGGGTAAACATTTGGGTAAACTGTTGGTTTATTACAGGGTTGGTTAAATGGTTGGTTAAACGGTTGGTTAAACGGTTGGTTAAACGGTTGGTTAAACGGTTGGTTAAACGGTTGGTTAAACAGTGGATTAAATGGTTGATCAAACGGTTGGTAAAATGGTTGGTTTAACGATTGGTGAAAAGGTTGGTAAAATGGTTGGTCTAACGGTTGGTTTAATGGTTGGTAAAAGAATTGGCTAAACAGTTGGTTACACGCTTTGTTAAATGGTTAGTTAAATGGTTGGTTAAACAGCTGGTTACACGCTTTGTTAAATGGTTAGTTAAATGATTGGTTAAACACTTAGTTAAACGGTTGGTTAAACGGTTAGTTAAACTGTTGGTTAAACGACTTATTAAACGGTTGGACAAACAGTTGGTTAAACAGCTGTTTAAATGGTTTGTTACACAGTTGGTTAAACAGTTGGTTAAACAGTTGGTTAAACCGTGTGTTAAATGGTTTGGTGAAACAGATGGTTAAACAGTTGGTTAAACACTTTGTTAAACGGTTGGTTAAAGAATTGGTTAAACGGTTGGCCAAACAGTTGGACAAACAGTTGGTTAAACAGTTTGTTACTCGGTTGGTTAAACGATTGGTTAAACGGTTGGCTAAACAATGGATTAAGCAGTTGGTTAAACGGTTGGTTAAACAGTTGGTTAAACAGTTGGTTTAATTGTTGGTTAAACTCTTAGTTAAACGGTTGGTTAAAGGGTTGGTTAAACGTTTGGTTAAATGTTTGGTTTCACAGTTGGTTAAAGGGTTGGTTAAACGGTTGGTTAAATGGTTGGTTAAACGGTTGGTTAAATGGTTGGTTAAATGGTTGGTTAAATGGTTGGTTAAACGGTTGGCTAAATAGTTGGTTTGTTAAAGGGTTGGTTAAAATGTTGGTTAAAGGGATGGTTAAACGGTTGGTTCACAATGTGTGCAATAATTTAATTTTGTGAAAATTAATTGTCGAAATTGTCGAAGTAAAAATTTCTGTTTGTCTGTCTGTTTATCCGATTATAGCTCATCAACCACTTGACTGATTTAGCTTAAATTATGATTTGAGAACTTGATAGAAGCAAAGAAATATTCTTAGCTAGGTTTAAAATTACTAAGTTGAGTGGAATAGACTTTTAAGGGAAATCATTGTTTCCAAGCAGAGCTGCAGGGTTTCCCAGCTGGTCTATATAGCAAAGCTCTTCGCTAAAATCTATAAATTTGTATGTATGTATATATGTTAGCTATACTAGCTGGCCAAACGACTGGACCAATTTTTTTGAAGAAAATTCGTGGGAACATAGGTTTTAAAATAATCTAATATTCGACGTTTTTTTAAAGATTTCTCAAGCAATGCCGGGCACCTCAGCTAGTTTGATATAAAATTCTATATTCGAGCTCTATATTCTTTATTTTCAATATCAATCAAAAACTTCAAATCAGCAAATATTAAAGGTTTTCCCTGTCAGCAGATTTCAGAATATAAAAGATATTTTGTTGGAAAGGATTTCTGGGAATGTTTAAAGGTTGAGATGTCAAGAACTCCAGGTTTGACCAATTTGAAAGGAATCGTTCAATATTTTAGGATCAGGCTAGATGCACTAATACTTATGAGAATTCTTTCTATTACATAATTAGAGATGGGCGTTCAGCTTATTTCAATTAGGTTCGTTCTTTATTCCTTTACGACCATTTCGTTCGTTGTTTTGAAAGATTAATTCGTTCGTTTTCAGAATTATACCGTCCATTTTCCATCTTTTTAATATTCAGCGCATTTTCTAACTAAACGATTATCGCAATTCAACTGTTCGTTCAGTGAAATCGTTCGTTAAGTAAAATGGTTTGCATTTGAAAAAAACGATCGTTTTTCAATAGATCGTTCGACAAATTGTTTGTATAGTAAAAAACAAAAGTATTTTTCAAATTCGTTAAGAGTATCTTTTTTTCAAAAGATAGTTAAAAAAATCGTTTATTTGTTAGAATGAACTTTTGAAAAAATTATCGTGTTTTTTACCGAACAAACGATTTTTTGAAACAAACAGTTTAAAAATTGTTCAATAATAGTCTGACTAATTCATAAAAATCGTTTTTTCTTTTGTTAATTTTTAAAAAACGAAATTTTTTCATTTCTCTGAACGATTCAGTTTGTTCGTTCATCACTTGTTAATTTTTTTGAACGACACAATTGTTCACAAAAAATGTTGTTTGTTTTTAAAAATTTCGTTTGTTTACAACATGATACCCATCTCTAAATACATGACACAAAATTAATTTCAGGGATCGAGCATTTATCGTCATATATGGGATATCGAGATCAAGATTTCAAGGTTAATAACACTTCACACTTAAGTTCCGACCTTTCGTCATCAAAATCAGATTAATTTTCAATCCTGAAATTCAAAAACCAAACCTAAATTGTGATCTACTGGATGAAATATCTTCTGTAAGATTATTCATCAAATTAATAATAGTGATGTCCACGAAAAAAAATCTTTTTAATAAAGATTTCTGTTTGGTTTAATCAAAAATGTTTTTTCCATTTAAGAATTATAATCAATGCTTTTCTGTTTGATTAAATTTTTCTTAGAATTTTTGATTGAATTGTTATTTTCTTCAGACCAACTTGTCATTGAAATTCAAAATATTGAATTTTGCTTTTTACTTGACATTTTTAGAATAATTGACTTTAAAATTAGCTGAAATACACAGCTTGGTCGGCGATTATATCAATACTATGCTTTAATGCTTTGATTCCTAATTTTTTAAAAAGAATTTTTAATAACAAGCTGCTGGTAAAATTAGCTGATTTTAAACAGAATGTCGTCTTTATAGATTTGTTGGGATCAATTGTAAACTTAATAAACATTTTTCAATGTTTTTCCATATCCAAGATCTGATTTGTATCTCAAGATTACAAACCTTGACTGACTAATGATTATAACAAGAGTATAGGAGAGACTAATTTGATAAATTAGGAGGGACAACAAATTTGGTTAAAAATGGTAAATAAGTTCTGTATATTTCCAATTGAAGGGATTATATGACGTAATTCTAAGTCCAACACAGCATTTTGAACGGAACTGAAGATTATAGACGTAATTTAAATTAAACCTCCATTGGTGGAGTTCCTGATTCCTGAAAATACCCTTTAGCCCTATAAAAGCTGGGGGGTCTGAATCTATGTATTGCCTGGGGGGGCGCCAAACGCCAAACGCCCCCCCCCCCTAGAAAAAGGCCTTAGAGAATAGGTATAGGGTTGAAATGCATGTTTATAGCTCAATTTTTCAAGGCCAGCTCATAGAAAAAAAATTATACCGATAATTTTAATAGTTTGGGTGAAAGGGAGGGTTGAAAAATGCATAACAAGGTCAAAAAATAGAAAAAAATATTTTTTTTGTTTTAAACAAATATCAAAGTGTGACACATGTTCCTACATGCATTTTTCAAGGGCTTTTCAAAAATATAATTTTAGATCTGTAGCTTTAGTAAAAAAAAAGTTATGGGCTATTTTAGATTTTTTCACAGACCAGACTTTTTTTCGCGCTGTACTCTACCCTTTGATTTTTTTTAAATATGTTGTTAACAAAAAATCCTATAAATTATTGTTCATTAAAAGTCACAACATTTCACGGTGATAGTGTTAGAAATGAGAGTGCTAGGACGAAAAAAAACTACAGGGGGGGGGGGCGACTTGCGTACATGCTATACGTACATTGACATCATCTGATTACCATTACCTCTAAAGAAGGCTGGGTTGGTGAACATAGGTCTAGAGCTTCAGAACTGAATAATCTAAAATGGTTGGAAAGTTAGTGAACAAAATTATTTGTTCACGCGCACGATGAACGAATTAAAAATAAGCCGAAAGCACAAATCTCTACAAATATGATAAGGGTTATGGCCTTTGAAAAGTATTCAATTTTACAGATATAGTGTTAAAGTGTCCAACATTTTCAGATTAAATATCATGATATAAAGAAACTTTTCATACTACCTATTAAAGTTCAGTTAAGTTTAGTTTAGTTCAGTTCAGTTCAGTTCAGTTCAGTTCAGTTCAGTTCAGTTCAGTTCCGTTCAGTTCAGTTCAGTTCAGTTCAGTTCAGTTCAGTTCAGTTCAGTTCAGTTCAGTTCAGTTCAGTTCAGTTCAGTTCAGTTCAGTTCAGTTCAGTTTAATGTAGATGCATAGTAAAGAAAAGAGATTAAAAAAATTACTTACATATTCGTAGACTGTAAACAGAGAGAGCAGGCAACTAAATATTATTTTAATATTTCTGGGTTAATTTAACAAAAAGAACGAATTGCAATTTTTCACGGCGGAAAGGGCCTTCTTTATTTTTTTGAACTGGTTAAAGGGACTGTACACGTTATATCGAATAGAATTGTATCCATAATTTTCTCAGTTAAAAAAGGATTATTTTCACTTTCGGTTTCTCTAAATAGTAACTTGGGGATTTCTGCTTCAGAACAACGGAGGAAATCGTGAGAATTAAACCCTTTTAAGCTATGCCAATAAAAAAATGGCACACACATGAGATTTATAAAGATAATACATCTATTATGCTTTCAGCATAAAAAGATAGAGATTTTTGGTGTTTATATATCTAGGTAAACATAGATGCGCTATTTTTACGTGACAATTTTACATAAAAATGTCTCATTTTCAATATTTTTGCTTTCAATTTCAATTTCTCTTTTTTTATAAAGGGAGGGGGGAGGGAATAATATGATGTAAAGCAGATATATTTATTAGAAAATATTAAATAAAAATATTCCTAAGAAAAGAACTGGAAAAAATGGAATCATGATTTTATTAAACCATATTTTCTGAAAAGAAATTGTTGATTAATGTTTGATAAGTAAATGAAAGCTGGAGATATAAGGCTAAATGGAGAAAACTTTTTATATTGATAGATGAGGGGGAGGGGGTAGGTGGGGATAAACGGAGGGGAATAAACAGGGGGGAGGTGTAAACGGCAGAGGGGGGGCGGGTGTAAAAAAGAAAATGAAAGAAGTGTGGGGGTTTAAAAGAAAAGATTAGCAGAATTTAAAGAATAGTCTACATTCTCTACATTTTTTTTAACAATGAATGCTTATAAAGATGAAATTATATTCACTATTTTATTTCACTGGTAAAGAATAAAGAAAAACTTACATAGTAACAAGCATACATTACCACACCGTGACAATGTACAATACAATAGTGTGAACAGTACGAAAATATGAGTTTTACAGTGTACAGTAAAACCTAGTGTAAAACAGAAAAATTTAATTTTAATTTATCCAAAAAAGCGACACTTTCTGAATCTACATCTAAATCTGAACCAGGAACTTCCATGTGGATAGCACAAAACAAACAAAAAGGGTCTAAACAGAAAAACAATGTCAGACTTATCAATGAAAAATGAAATAACGAAATTCACCATTTTTTTTAAATAGTTAACGCTTATAACCGTTAATTTTTTTCAAAACGACTAATCCGTTTGATACCGATTTAAAAATTAACGGGTTTGCCGTTCTTTAACGGACTCTTCCGTTAATTTTCGAAAGACTCCATTTGTTATCGGAACTTTGCCCAGCCCTAATTTCAAGTCACAATTATAAGAAACAAATATGTCTCATAGACACATTGTATGACTCAATTCTAACTCAAAACTATGTATGGTCTTTTTTTTAGGTTTAAAACCTAGTGTAGTACCCGAGTAGAATCTAAGAGTCTGAAACAAAGTCTTAGACGCCGGGCGGACCTCCTCAGACCCTATGTTTTTGGAAAAAAATATCAAATTTCACCAAATATATGTAATATGAGAAAAAAACCATTAAAATATTTGAGCATTCCTCTCCCCATCCCTTTCTTCAAGCACCCCTCCATCGTCAGGAGAGGTCTTAAATACAAGACCCTGTTCAGTTTAAGTAGGATATCATATTTCTTCAACATGTGTTATATGTCCCAACCCCAGTTTCTGCTGTTTCTCCCCAAGTCTGATAGAGGTCTTGTTATGATCCTGTTCAAGACTCTCTTCAGTTTTATTATATTTCTTCAACACATGGGTTGGTCCTTTCCCATGCCTCCCCTTTTGTAGCCCAAAATATTTCCCCGCCCACTCAATATGCTGTTTCTCTCATAGGTTCCCCTTTCTGAAGACAA